CGGAAGGCACATTAAGCCGTTGGTCCCGGCTGCATCTGCAGTCGTTAGCACCCACCAACCCGCACTTGCCCTCGTGGTGGGTCATGGCCCAATCTCCTTAACCCATTCATAGGGAAGGCCTGTGCCCCAGCTATTTGCTGAAGACGAATTTCAATATTAACCCATGTGAAGCCGGAGGAGTATGTGTTGCCACTATGTATACTTAACTTTGAGGACTTATAAAATCAGTTTTGTTTTTCTTGTTAAAAATTGTGTTGTGGCGAATGTTAGTGTCTTATAATGGTAGATTATTAACCACTAAGTGTTCGGGAATATGCACAAGTGTTGGCAAGTGAAACAAAATAGCGGAAAGTGTCTTGCGACGTTCCCTCAAGAAATCCACGGGGAAGTTCCAGTAAATCCCCACTTTTACTGAAACATAGGGAAAGGGGGATTGACTTGACTGCCACTTACTTTGACTTGATTTATTACTTTGACCACGAGTGCTGTAGTATTTGTAAACATTTTAATACTTGACATTGGCTAAATGCACAAGCGGTGCGAAGCCACGTAGCAAAAAAAAAATTCGAAAGACTTTTATAGAGCGTTCGGATATTTGTCGGAATTTGTTTTGATATTTTATGTAATTCTATTTTATCTGATACGGAACAGGTAGTTGCCATTTGGTCCTATAAAAAAATTAATTTAAATTTTGTCCAGTAGTTTTTATTGTATGTATGTACATTTTTCAGTACGCTACTGGTATCGATTCTGGTATGTTACTCTCAACCTAAACTTAAGACAACAGCGTATCTTTGCCTTTCTTTGTACCGAATTAAAAGAAGAGACTGTGGCCAAATTTAAAATTATGTAAAAGGGAATCATGCCAGTGTCTACACCTTTATTAATTATCACACCTTTATTAGCACTTATTAAAAAAGCTTATTACAAAGTGGAGGAGCTTGATGGCGCAGGTGGTTAGCGCGTTCGGTTGCGATGGTTGAAGTAAAGCAACTTTCGCAGTGGTCGGTCATTGGATGGGTGACCAAAAACATCTATCTCGAGTTCCTCCGTGCTTCGGAAGGCAAGTTAAGCCGTTAGTCCCGGCTGCATCTGCAGTCGTTAGCACCCGTCAATCCGCACTGGGCCCGCGTGGTGGGTCATGGCCCAATCTCCCTATTCCATCCATAGGGAAGGCCTGTGCTCCAGCAGTGGGGACATTAATAGGCTGATGATGATGATGATGAAACTTAAGACATTGACAACAATTCACAACAGTGTATCTTTGTCCCTCTGTACCGAATTAAAAGAAGAGAGAACCATGCCAGAATCCACACCTTTATTAGCACTTATTAAAAAAGCTTATTACAAAGTATCTGATTATATTACAGACAAAATGCATGGGTTTGAACTGTACCCTTAGTACGAGTTTTACAATTACGAAAACTATGATAGTTTTCGTGAGCTCGTACTCGTACTTAGGGTACATACTGATTTTATTGTTTTCTTTTTAATACAAATAAACAGTGTTTAAATTCTACCATTAAATCATTTGCGTCTTCTTAAATTTTAAGTATATTTGGTTACTTTTCACCAAAATGGACATAGTAACATAATTTACAATTACGAAGACTACGATAGTTTTCGTGAGCTCAAACTCGTACATACTAAGGGTACTGTTCCAATCATTCCAACAGGTCTTCTATATTAAATAAATCATGATTGTTTTGACGCTGTAACATCATAATGATTTGTACATTTAATGTTGTGGAGGTTTTTTCCGCTCGTTTTTCTCCGCAGCTAAAAATATGCCCAATAAATAATAATAATAAATAAATATTTCCAACACTCACACCAATTAGCCTAGCCCCAAAGTAAGCACTGTAAGGCTTGTGTTTTGGGATGCTAGGGTAACGGATAGAATACATATATAAGTATATTTATATAGAATAACATATGAACCATCCATGACTGGAGTACAAATTGCTCGTATTCATCACACAAACATCTGCCCCCACCGGGACTCGAACCCAGGACCTCTCGAGACGGCGACACTATGAAACCCGGCGTATAAACCACTCGGCCACGGAGGTCGTCAATAAAGATATAAATAAGTAAAAAAAAATTTGGACGATTCAAAAGAGTTGTACTATACATCCAATTTGAATAAAGATATATTGATTTCTGATTTCTAAATATATAATTTCCAGGCAGTGTTAAATATTGGTAAAAGCAACGAAACAAACTTGTAAGTAAGCCAGTGTGGTTAACACATATATTTGAGGTGTTACTGATAATTGTCATACAAACAATAAGTAGAACACTGTTCACAGTTAAGTGTGTCGTTCTAATCTCTTATCTATTAGACAAGTCCGTCCGTCCGTCCGTGGTGCTGTTTCAGCGGCCAAACCGTAAGAGATAGATATAGAGAATGTTTAAGTTATAAGTTAAGAATAGTCTGATAAGACTACAAACCGGATGTGAGTAACGTAGCACTTCCGGTTTTCGAGAAATCACGTGATTTCTATTTCAAACGAAACCACACAAAATCTCCGAAGTTCTCAATTAATTAAATACTTTTTTTTTTATTTGGTGAACATTTGGTTCACAGGTTTGCTAGTGTTTTTATTAAGTTGATACTTTTAAAACAATTTCAAAAGTGGAGGTTATCAATATATACAAACCGAATTTATGTCAAGTTATTTACTAACTAGCGGCCGCCCGCGACTTCGTACGCGTGGAGTTAGTTATTTGCATATACTTTTTGACCGCAAAAGGGGGTTTATTTCTAAATATACATTATTAGTACTCCTCTTCACCATCTATAGAGCATACATGTTAAATTTGAAGTCCGTTACTTCAAAAACATAGGACTTTCATACAAACTTTCAACCCCCATATTAACCCCTTAGAGGTGGAGTTTCGTGAAATTCATTATTAGCGAATATCTACACCCTATAAGGAACCTACATGCCAAATTTTAAGTTTGTAGATGTTACAGTTTCTGAGATTTCCTGATTAACCATTCAGTGGTATATCGCTTCGACATCGTCTGCGTGAACGCTATACAGCACCAAAAAATACCTACGATTATACCTTTTAAACATAACATTGCCTGATTGGTTCGATTGTTTGATGTCGCGTCGTTTGATTGGCTATTATCTATTAGATGGAATTGTAGTGGGGGCGAGCCGGCGACATTGGTTCCCGTACAAACAATAACATTCATTCACCCGTTTCTTCTTTACATTTCATATCTACAGAAAGTGCAGTAATTTGTTACTGCACTTTAGTTAGTTACGCGTGCCTTGGAACGCCATATGCATATTCATAGCCACTTAGGCTTGCCAGATGGCAGAGAAATCCGGGATTATCCTGGATTTTTGCGTCTTATCCCGTGTCCAGTAATTAGAACTTATTGTCCCGGATTCTGATAATGTGCAGAAAGTGCAGTAACAAAGGGAGACTGACTTTTGTAAAATTGACCTTCAAAAAGTGCTGATTTTCAGCCTGCTTTGAACAAATGACTTTATGGTGATTCTGCTGAATTAAGTCATAAGTTGTGACCGAAGCCGATGGAAAAAGTAAGGAATACAGAATAGGGTAAAAATAGATACTTATAGAACTTCTCGATAAACAACATTAGTGGTTTGGCTCTCCACAGTCAAAATGTAAAGAGAGTCAGGACTGGTGACGCGGGTGCAAGCAACGTACAACTGCCCGTGTGAAAAGCAGCTCGTCCTGAGGTCGACACCCGCTGCCCTCAGTGTTTGCCCCTGTGACTTATTGATGGTCATCGAGAAGCAAACACTCACGGGGAACTGTACGCTCTTGAACTGGAACGGGAAGTATGAGGTATGAGGGAAATGCGTGGTATAAATACGGCCTCGCCGATGCCACAACCCGTAAGAATTTCCGCCTCAATGGTGTGTCTGTGGAGCGAGATGATTTTAAAGCGGGTCCCGTTACACAACTTCGGAGGATATAGGTTCCGAAGAAGCATAATAAGGACACCGACCTTCAGCTTGATGGTATGCGCTGGAAGTCCACTTGCTGACATGACGTTCAGAAATCCCACGGTATAATGTGTAGCGTCATCTTTCTCGACGACAGTGTTTATAGAGGTGCAGTGTACCACTTCATTCCCCTCAATTTCCGAGAGAATGCATTCGTTAATTTCTGCAGCCTGATCATTTTTGGGCGTCAAAATGGCCCGCTCACATACCCAAGAATTCTATTGTAGCGGTATACGACTGATGTCCCCGCACACAGAGCGAATGAGTTCTTCTAAGCTGGATAAAACTGCCGGGAGACTCTGGAAGCACCACCTGTCCACCTCTCTCCTCCGGTAGAGTGCCTTCGCCAAAACTTAGAAGGGCATCGGAGAATTCTTTAGCACGTACATTGCCCCCGAGTCGAGCTCTCATATTAATGGTCAAGCGCAGCGTACGAACTCGTGACCACAAATCGTTTCAACGAAGCATTCACCTCGTCAGCCCTCGATCCCCGCGTCACCACGGGAAGTGTTTGTCGGAAATCGCTACTGAACAGAACTGTGACACCACGTATAAATGTTCGTTCCTGCGGATATCCTGCAGGGTTCTGTCCACGGCCTCAACTGCCTTCCTATTGACCATCGTACACTCATCCCATACGATCAGAGAGCAATCCTTGAGCGCGTGTCCCTTATCACTGTTACGTGACACACTTACAGTTTTAGACAGACAATTTTAAACATGGCATGTGCTGTCGCCTATGACACTCCCTTAGTTGCAGCCCTGCCAATAACTTTTTAGATAAAAAAGAAAAAATCATTGTTAACTTTTGAGTGTTTCCTTTACTAAATAAAAGAAATATGTACATGTCTCTACGTATTTTTTAGTTGGGAGAGGTAAGTAAAAAAAACCAATAACTTTAATGTATCGATGATACAACATATTTTATTTTATATTATTCCTACGTTTTTACTAAATGCTTAATAAATAATGTACCCGTGGTTAGTACTTAGATTTTTACATAAGTTAGGAAGTTGCGTTTCCTGTTGTAAGGTCAGCTGAAAACAAAAAAGGAATGACAATATTATTAATAATTTTCTAAAATTCTTATAATATAAGTATTTACTTTTCGCATTATAAAAACAGATATAAATAAATAAATATTTGTAACACTCGCAACCAATTAGCCGAGCCCCAAAGTAAGCACTGTACAATAGTTTGTGAGTGCGAAATGACAATATCAAATTTTGTATGAAAACTTAAAAATTAGCGCCATATCGTACGTAAAGAGAACTAAAAATCAGTACACATTTGACAATGACATTTCTTACTCGCAAATTCGATTTTGGTTCGTGCTAAGGGAACAGTACGCCACGATACATTATCGAATTCGAATAGTTTGTGAGTGCGAAATGTCAATGTCAAATTTTGTATGGAAACTTGAACAGCAGCGGCACAAAGCACGTAACGAGAACTAAAAATCAGTACACCTTTGACAATGACATTTCATACTCGCAAACGTTACGAATTCGATTATGGATCGTGCTAAGGGTACTGCTGGTGTTATGGGATACTAGGGTAACAGATAGAATACAAATACTGTACATATATAGATACACATACATATTAAACATCCATAACTGGAGTACTAATGCTCGTATTCATGACTCAAATATCTGCCCCCACCGAGATTCGTACCCGGGACCTCTCGAGCCGGCGACACCATAAAACGCGGCGTACAAACCACTCGGCCACGGAGATCGTCAAAATCCAGAAAGAGTACAGAAACCCAAAAGCTGCGTATGAATAGCTCGTTCCAGAAAAGTTGGTTACGCGTGCCTTGGAACGCCATATGCATATTCATAGCCACTTAGTGTCGCCGCACATGGGCCACCGACACAACCTCAAAACGCCGCCACCGGCATATTTCTTGTAGTTTTCATACATTTTATATATGGACTCGCCACACACGGTACGCCGGTGGCCGCCACACGCTACAAATCGTCGTTGCTCTCTTCTTGTGGCCCGCACCGGCCACTTAATGCGCCGATACAAAACGCCGCCACACGTCACTCGCGCGATTCCCCACCCATCTCTCCCTTACCTTAGTCGGCCGCTGTCGCGCGTGTTATGATTTCATTACCTATTTATTTCATAAACACTTTGAAACTTCTATAAAATAATAAAAAGAAATATAATTGAAATATAGCTGTTCAATAGACTCGGATTTCTTTGCTTTATAAGAAAAATATCTACCTTCGAAATTATAAATATTTAAAAAAATCACTATTTATTCAATTCAATTCAAAAGTCATTTATTCAGTTTAAGCTTTTACAATTACATGTGAAAGTCGAAAACTACGCCATCGGTTCGCAAAACTACGGCGGGAGACCTTGTATTGAGAAGAACCGGCAACAAGTCATCCACGGCTCCGGACAGCAGACACCACGTCCCATAAGGTATTTATTACGTAGCTGTTTCTAATATCTTATCAAGTGATTATTTTTAATATTAAGAAAAAAACCATTAAGCGTAATTCCTTGTCACGCGCTTAAGCCACTTTAGTAGCCGCTTCTAGCTTCTCGTGGCGGCGTTTGTGGCTGTGACGTGTGGCCCGTGTGCGGCGACACTTAGGCATTGTCCTAATACAACGCGATAACGCGATCATCGCGCGTTTAAACGATGCGACCATCGCGTGATCGCGAACTGGGTGTCCTAATAGAACGCGAATACGCGATCACGATTTACGCGAATACGCGATCACGATTGACACACAGTTTGGTCGGGTTAGCCCTGCCCCTCTCCCCGCTTCCTATCGACGCGACGCGATCATCGCGCGAACTTTAGTTAGGACACCTATTCATCATTATTAGGTTTGATTGCACGTTCGCGCGAACCTAGTTCGCAGATTTTTAAACATTTTAGTCGCGCGAATGCATCGCGCGTTCGCCTATTAGGATACCTATTCTAGATCAATATGTTTGATCGTCGACTCGTACGATGATCGCATCGCTCATTCGCGTTATCGCGTTGTATTAGGACAATGCCTTAGGCTTGCCAGATGGCCGGGAAATCCGGGATGGTCCCGGAATTTTGCGTCTTGTTCCGTGTAATTAGAGCTTATTGTCCCGGATTACAATAATGTGCTAGTTTCATAACAAATAAACTAATAACGAATGAAACCGCTGGCCTGCTTGATTTTTTAATTCTGGGGGTGATGGGGGTTGGATTTGATGCTTTATTTTTTCAACAATAAGCAATCAAGCTTTCAATAATTGGCAACACAAAATAGTTTTCTTTAAAAAAAATAAACAAATTTAGAAAAAGAACGAGGATCCTAAGTCAATCTAATATATAAAATTCTCGTGTCGCGGTGTGCGTAATTGAACTACTCCGAAACGGCTCCACCGATTTTCGTAAAATTTTATACGCATATTCAGTAGGTCTGAGAATCGAAAAACATCTATTTTTCATCTCACTAAATGTAAAGGATGGTCCACCCTTAAATGTTTTTTTGATTTTTTTTTATCTTTATTTTTTTATCTTTATTTTTTTGTGATACATCATACAAAAAGACATACAGCCCTAAATTTTCATCCTTCTACCACCAACCCCTATTTTTTTATGGCGGTACGAAGTTCGCTGGGACAGCTCGTTTTCTATATATTTTTTTAAGTGATGAATAGAAATCAAAGTTGTATTTTTCTTCATTTTCATCACTATGCAGGCTTGCAACGTGATTATCCGTACGCAGCTTAATATTTTATATCATAATTCATAAGAAACACATTATCTCTTATCTATTAGACAAGTCCGTCCGTCCGTGGTGCTGTTTCAGCGGCCAAACCGTAAGAGATAGATAAAGAGAATGTTTAAGTTATAAGTTAAGAATAGTCTGATAAGACTACAAACCGGATTTCAGTAACGTAGCACTTCCGGTTTTCGAGAAATCACGAACTTCAAACGAAACCCCACAAAATCTCCGAAGTTCTCAATTAATTAAATACATTTTTTTTTAAGTCAGGTTTTGGTGAACATTTGGTTCACTGGTTTGCTAGTATTAATTAATACATTACACATAATGGTTGTAGATGCTTGGTTGCCATCGGAAGTCAGAGCCCCACTGTCATTCGATGCATTTTCAATGATGACATCGGCTTTGTCATTCGGATTCCTGTTAAAAGGTGAACATTAAGTAATCATATTTATTTTTTAAGCATGCAACTGCTCAATATTTAAATCTAAACAAAATAATACTAGAAAAAAATTCACGCGGACCAGGCAGCAGTCGGGACTAGAACCCGCACCCTTCGCTATCCGGGCGAATGCACTGACCACTATGTTACCGCGGCCCTGGTGGCCATGACGAATTCTTTCTAGCCTTTCCTAAGCTGCAAGGCAGCGTCATCTCTTTGCATTGTAGAACACCCACAATGTCAAATTACACAAGGTTCGCAAATCTACGGCGGGACACCTTGTACTGAGAAGAACCGGCAAGAAATTCGGCAAGGGAAAGTATCTCTTATCTATTAGACGAGTCCGTCCGTCTGTCTGTGGTGCTGTTTCAGCGGCCAAACCGTAAGAGATAGATAAAGAGAATATTTAAGTTATAAGTTAAGAATAGTCTGATAAGACTACAAACCGGATTTGAGTAACGTAGCACTTCCGGTTTTCGAGAAATCAGGTTTTGGTGAACATTAGGTTCACTGGTTTGCTAGTATTAAATATTGAAGATAGGATATTTTACTGAAAGAAGACATCATTTTATTTTTAATAATAACTAGAACTGCTTATGCTCACCTTATATCTAGGATAGTTTTGGTCACATGCTCTCCTTTCATTTCGAACACTGCTTGGTAGACGCCCTCAAACGTGGCACTGAACTGGGTGATGTGGACAGTGACAGAAGTCGGTGTCACCTGGTATGAGAAGATCAATATAGAAACAATCTTTCTTAATAGACAGAATTCGGACCTGTCTGATACCTTTATTCTTCGATGACGGGGAGAAAAAATGTATTATGCATGCCACATCTTGCACCTTTGGATACATGATCCGGCATGCTGCATTTGGGTAGTGGAAAGCAGTGTGCTACACTGCTACGTAGAGCCTGAAGATTGCTGACCGTACGCAGTCGCAAAAGGGTATTTTCTTATACAAGAACACGAAGATTACACACCCCACCTCCCCCGGCCCCTTTTTTAGATGGCGGGGAGAAATAATGCATTAAATCCACGACAATGACCAACACCGCATTGGTTTGCTGTTGACAAAGCCTCGCGATGCAGGTGCGTGGTGCATTCGGCCAGCGGCGAGCAACTCGAGGGCCACTAGTCGGTGCAGGTATACTTTCACGTGCGCTCACGCAAGCGTGGCAGATGTCAAACCACCCTGCCTACGACTGGCAACCCGGCCCGCACCCGCTTCAGCCGATCCTGAGCTTCTGCGTTCACAGCGTTACCTGACTGCAGTCCGAACGGCTAGCCAGCCGTCCTGCTTGGTACCAGGTAAACCAACTCCCCAATCTACCCCTCACCCTCCGGGCGTAACTGCGAGATCCAGTAATGAGTCATCGCTTGGCCTCCCTGCGGCCGTCCGGCGACCAACACCATGCCCTCAAACACGATCCTAGAGTTTTCTGGTCAATGCGCCATAGCCACATGTTCCGCAACTGTAGTCCATGGTGGATTAGTCGGCCGAGCTTCGATTCCCATACTTACCGGATAACCCCTAAACAAACACCTTTAAACGATATGCAGAGGATGCGTGGAGGCAGAAGGAAAGCCACAGCATGTCATCATGGAATGGAATCATGGCAGGAGTGTAGCCGATCAACGGGCAAGACTTCTAAAGTCGCCAGCATCGCTTCCGGAAGCCTGCAGCAGTCTCCCAAGGCTGCTTTCTTTCTGGACGGAAACGTTTCGAGACCCGCACATTGGTCCAATAATTAGGACTTAGTGCGGAAACCGCCCTGATAAACTAAACTTAAGTAAATCTACCAGATAAAAAAACTCCCCGATCAGCGTTGTTAGATTTTTTTTAAGCCAAGTCGTGATTTAGTAACTTTTTGAGTGAAAAAAGCGGGATTCTTTCGTCGAAAGCGGGACATAGTAATAAAAACCTATATATTAGGTCCTTACATATGAAATTAGCGTTTTGTCGTACTGACTACTTTGATCTGAAATATCTCCTCTTTGGTTAAGAATTCCAAAGTCAAATTTACAAATTCATTTAGCTGGTACATTTCAGTTTTGAAACAGTCATTCATTTGTTTTTTTCCACATTATTTTTTTCTTTGGCGTCGCTTATTACCACACAACAAAATATCGCTATATTTACGAGTATGAGTTCTACCATGGCACCAGTGCTGCAGAAACAGCTCGAAAGACTAATGATGTGTACGGAGCTGGTATCGCAAAAGAAAGCATGGTACGTTTTTGGTTTCAACGTTTTCGTTCTGGAAATTTCAACCTTCAGAACCAACCCCGTGGACGGTGGGAGACCAAAGTGGAAAATGAAGAATTAAAGGCTATTGGAAAGCCACCACAAAGCACTTCGGAGATAGCTGCAGACTTCGGGGTAAGTGACAAAACTGTAGTAATCTGCTTTAAGCAAATCGGGAAAGTAAATAAACTTGAACATTGGGTATCTCATTCTCATTGGGTGTCGTTCACTACAGCTTTCTAAAATCTGGCCAAAAGATTACGGCAGATATATATTGTCAGCAACTGCAAACTATGAAGGAAGAACTAACTGCTAAACAACCGAGATTGATCAATCGCTCTAGGCCATTGCTGCTTCACGACGACGCAAGAGCACACACTGCACAACAAACACTCACTAAGTTAGATGAGCTACAATTAGAATGTCTGAGATATCCACCGTACTCCCCGGACCTTGCTCCAACAGATTACCATTTTTTCCGGAATTCGGACAACTTTTTACATGGAAAAAAATTCAACTCCGAATCGGCAGTCCAAACCGCCTTCAAAGAGTTTATTGATCGCCCCCATGGTTTTATTAGTAAAGGGATCAATAAACTACCTATGAAATGGAAAAAGTGAATAGATAACAACTGTGCATAATTTGATTAATTAAATATATTTTCCAAAAAAATATTGACTTTTTATTAATCCTGTACAAAACGCCAATTCCTTATATAAGGACCTAATAATCAAAAGTTTTTGTATATTTATCTTTTTATTTGAGTTCAAATTACGTTTACGTGACAATAGATAGGTACCTAGTAAAAATATCCATAGAAAATGTATTTAATTAAAATATGATATTTTAAATGAGATTTACCCTATCGTTAAATAGTCTAATGTTCGAGTCTTTGTTTGAGAGTTCTTCATTACGCGCTGGGCAGGGCAGGCGGCCAGTCCACACTTGTCTGTGCCACCCGCCCACGTTTTCTCAGTACGCTGCACGCATGGTCTAGTTATTCCCGAAAAGCGGGATTGAGCCTATCCTGTGTCAACCATTTACTTTCGATTTAAAAATCGGGACTAAAAGTGCCTAGTAATTCCAAATCTATCTATATATATAAAACTCAAAGGTGACTGACTGACATAGTGATCTATCAACGCACAGCCCAAACCACTGGATCGGACTGAAATTTGGCATGCAGGTAGATGTTATGACGTAGGCATCCGCTAAGAAAGGATTTTGATCAATTCTACCCCCAAGAGGATAAAATAGGGAATGAAAGTTTGTATGAAACTTTGTCAATTTTAAACCGATCGGGCTGAGACTTTGCATGACGGGTCATTGTGTATAATACAAGCCTGAGAACAAAAACTGTAGTCTACACTTCAGCTCTACACCGAAGCGAAGCGAGGGCGGGCCGCTAGTGTTATTATAAAACCGAATGTAGTGAACCACATTCGGTTAGAACAGCAATTTTTATTTTATCAAAAATTACAATAGTAGAAGAATAGAAGTAGAATTCTAATTAACTTACCGTGTAATAGATATCGGGGGCAATTGTCAAATTTGCTTCCACGGCAAGGGCCGCTTCCAAACCAATACCATTAACTGATACCTGGTGGAACACAAGTTAGTGATTTATCGTCGATTATTCAATTTAACTAATCAAAAGAAAAGTTTTACTAGAAAAAAATCCACACGGACCAAGCAGCGGACGGGACTCGAACCCGAATCCTTCGCAATCCGGGCGAATGCACTGACCATTATACTACCATGGCCCTATTAGCCGCGTCGAAATTGTCCTAGCCTTAAGCTGCAAGGCAGCGCCATCTCTTCGCATTGTAGGTAATCCACAATGTCAAATGAATACTTTTTCAGGTATTAAACATTTGAAAGAAGAAATAGCAATTACAGTTATGATTTTATTTATTTTTAAGCATTTAACTGCCAGATGTTTAAATCTAAAGAAAAGTTTTTCTAGTAACTTTCTTTTTTTTGCAGCTTAAGCTTAAGGCTAGGAAAATTTCGACGCGGCTAATAGGGCCGTGGTAGCATAATGGTCAGTGCATTCGCCCGGATTGCGAAAGATGCGAGTTCGAGTCCCGTCCGCTGCCTGGTCCGCGTGGATTTTTTTCTAGTAAACTTTTCTTTAGATTTAAACATCTAGCAGTTAAATGCTTAAAAATAAATAAAATCATAACTAATCAATTTATTTAACTTGCTAATATATTTAGAAAATTGTTTACTCGATATTTCGGGGCTTTTGTATATTAGTTGTTACCTATTTTACATTATGTAATGGAGGTTGATCTCAATATATGTTTTTATTCCTTTTAATTTGACGACACTGTATGAAATAATACAGGGAGAAAAGGCAGCCCTTGCTGAGTTTATTGCCGGTTCTTCTCAGTACAAGGTCTCCCCCCGTAGTTTTGCGAACTGATGGCGTAGCTTTCTACTTTCACATGTGCTTGTAAAAGCCTAAACTGAATAAATGAATATTGAATTTGAACTAACTATTGCGAGGAGCTCGGTGGCGCAAGTGGTTAGCGCGTTCGACTGCGATCGTTGATGTGAAGCAACTTTCACAGTGGTCGGTCATTGGATGGGTGGATAAATTTACAATCTCGAGCTCCTCCGTGCTTCGGAAGGCACGTTAAGCCGTTGGTCCCGGCTGCATCTGCAGTCGTTAGCATCCACCAATTAGCACTGGGCCCGCGTGGTGGGTGATGGCCCAAACTCCCTATTCCTTCCATAGGGAAGTCCTGTGCCCTAGTAGTGGGGACATTAATAGGCTGGTGATGATAATGATGTTTAATTAACTTGTTATCAGATGAAAAGGGGGGGGGGAGTTTGTATGAATGACGGGCGCCAGGTGGTAGCACTGAGGAGAAAGTTCTACTCATCCGTCAAAACGCATATATTGTCAGAGTCTACGGATCAAATTAAATGCTCGTTCGATTAGTTCGCGCCAAAAACTTTACACAAAAGACCTCACGTCACAGTGGCGCCAACTAGTGACGTGAATTTTCGTAAACACCCTCTATCAGACTAAGCGAGCATCAGCTAGTTTAGGAAATATCGAGAGACTTCCCAAGTGGAAGAGTTGAATCATCTTTGAAAATTAAACAATACACTGGTGTCTTCATTGCGTATAGAGAATGACAAGGATACACTGTTGTCAAATTTAAGTTTAGGTTTAGAGAATCGTGTCAGAAACAATGGTGTCCATTGTTATATTATATTGAATTTGGCAGCTTATAACAAAATGGTTTAATAGTTTTTAACTAAAGTCGATTAACTGAAATGATAATTTTAAATGCAACAGAACACTTGTTAATAGAACAAGTGACTGAAACAAAGTTTGGCTATTCATCGGGTAACTGAACAAGGTAGTTTTGTAAACGACTTTTCTCAGTGTGTTGATTATAAACTAAATAAGAGCAGCTCCATTGAAGGAGCAAACTTTTTAAGGCTGACAGTAAAAGGCTTGGATTGAACATTAAAAATATAATAAATATCCTTAATAAATGAAACACGCTAGAGCGGTATCAAAATGCGCGTTTTTATTTATCTACGATGATTTCTGTTTCCCTACTGTTATTCATTTAAGAATAATAATCTATAATAGCTTATTTAATTATAAATGTAAAATTATGTCTGTCACGTTTTCATAATGAGGCTACTGCATCTAATTTGATAAATTTCAATAAAGACAAAAAAGGAATAGGATTTAATAAGGTGTAAACTACAATTTGCATAAAAATATCTGGGCAACAAAGTTAGATAGATAACACTTTATTGTGCACATCACATTAAATATTACACACTAGGACAAAACTTAAAATAGTGAACAATTGGCGGTCTTATCGCTATATAGCAATTTCTGCCAGACAACCATAGGATGGAGAGATTTAATAAAAGAGGGGGTGTGCTAATATAATAAATAAAAATAATTACAATAAAATATTCACGATTAAACATACTCATAAATATTTACTTTGCAAGTATACAAATATTAAATGAATGAGTAGAGAGACATACACATACATACATACAGTTGGAACAACACAAACAACTACTGTGAAAGGAAAAAATCTTTTATCTGCTTCTTAAATAAACCAATCGTCTGGGCACGTCTGATATTAACGGGGAGAGAGCTCCAGAGGCGCACAGCTTGAACACAAAAAGAATATTTATAAAAAGTGGTATTATGTGATGGAGTTTTAAGGCTCAAATTCTCTGATGAGCGTAAAGACTGAGAGTGGGAACAGTGGAGAAAACTGAAAAGCTCTTTAAGATAATGAGGGCTATCGCGTCTGAAACCGCCACTAGAGGCGCTTGTGTAGCGTGAGGTCTCCGAAATGTCAAACGTTATTGCTTGTGAGTCGACTACGCGGTTTTTTTCTAATTAAAATAATAGTTGTGAATATTTGGTAATAACTCAGACTAATTATGGCAAATATGAGTTACGTGTCAATGAATGTCAGTTATTTAAAAGCGGAGCTAAGAAAAAATATTGTCCTTCTTTTTTCCGAACAAAACGGGACTGCGCAACACTGTGGCATGGGCGATTATGTTTAAGATACGATTCTTTTGTATTAAAATGTAAACTTTGATATCACGAGCGTGTTTACTAACTTTAAAAGCTACACTTCAGGATGTCACTCAACAGTGGCGCCATCTGGTGAGACAAAAAACGGTATCCCTCATTGGAATAAGAGGGATTAAACAAAACATTGTAAAGAAGGGAAAGTATATGAGTATCTCGGCGACGACGAATTGGAAGCCACTTGAGTTGAGAACGAAACTGGGAAACATGATCATATTTTCTTATCCCAAATATGAACCTGATGCAAAAGTTTTGAAGACGCTCAAGTTTATTTAGCTTGTCCTCCATAAGATCTAGATAGCAGGCGTCAGCATAGTCAAGGACTGGAAGCAATAGAGATCAAAGTTCTAATAGGTCTATCTCCTACTGGAGTTAGATCATTAAAAAGTGACCGTGAAAACGATACCGAAAGAACAATACCGTGTCTAAGGTGCAGTCTTCACATTTAATCGGTATTTCGACTTCCATCTGCTTCTCAAGTTCAGGAGAAGGCTTCGGAGCAGGCGGAGTTACGGTCACTTCTAAAATAAAAAAAAATCGATATTTTTAATTTTTGAAGCAATTAGCTGCCAGATGTTTAAAAAAATCCTCGCGGACCAGGCAGCGGACGGGGCTTGAACGGGTTCCCTCTACTAACCGGGCGTATGCACTGACTATTATGCTACCGCGGCCCGAATTGTCTGTGTCGAATTTTCTCTAGCATTTCTTGGGCTGCAAAGCAAAGCCATCTCTTCGCTTTGTAGGTAACCCACAATGTCAAACGTTTGTCAAAGGTATTCAACCTTTACAAGTATTAAACATTTGAAAGAAGAAATTTTAATTATAGGTATATTTTTAGTTTTTTAAAGCATTTCACTAGATGATTAAATGTAAAGAAAATTTAACTAGAAAAATATCCATTCGGACCATGCAGCAGACGGGACTCAAATCCGCAACCGCATCCTTCAATACTTCTTCTGGTGTGAAGAAGCTCGATAGCCCGTCCGTGCTACGATCGGGGAAGTTACGTGAAGAAGTTCACACTTCCGTCCCATTTCACGAAATCACTCCTACAAATTGCAGGAAAGCGAGAGGAAAGATCAAAAACTGCAGCCAAGAAACATTATTTCTTACCAGGTGCTGAAATAAAATTGTTTTTCCATTATTTATTCGACTGCTCAAACATTTCTCATGACCAATCTTTTTTATACGGGCACTTAACTTGGCTATTCGTGTTCGCTATTTGTAAACTCGACATCAGTCTGTCCTTTTCAGTCCATATAAAGCATGATAAGGACAGACCTGTCAAGCTTCCAAATAGCAAACACGAGTAGCAAAATAAAGTGTCGGTTTTAAAAAATGTTGGTAGGTATGCGCGTTAGATTTTATTGTTGACTTGCGGCCGCCCCACAAAATTCTATAATTTTCCAAGAAAAAAGTAACCTATGTCTCAATCCAGGTATAAACTATATGCATACCAGTATTTCATCCAAATTCGTTGAGTAGTTTTCGCGTGATTGAGTAACTAACATAAAAACTTACAAATTTATTAATAGAAAATGGTATTGCATTTACAACTTTAAAAATAGAAAATGGTATTGCATTTTCAACATTGATTTCTTGTTTTGTTTGAACTTCCGTAATAAAGGTCCTACATAATAATTTTATTCTTAATGACGGATCGAGATGTGAACGTAATTAAATTATATTATTATTATTATTATTTAAACTTTATTGCCACAATTACAAAATGGACAAAAGGCGGACTTAACGCTAAAAGCATTCTCTGCCAGTCAACCTTCAGGAGTACAGAAAGTCACGAATGCGGCTTTAGTAAAAAAATTGATAATATAAACATACTTACCATAATAGAAAATACTTATCTTATACATAATAATTATACTTACACGTGTCTGAAATGTTTTTAAACGAAAAAGTCTTATTAAATTTTAATATCAGTAATGCCTTACAATTATTATTGTGCAAAGTATTAAAACTACAAAATAAAAAGCAAACGCGTAACTTCCTGAAAACTAACATGCGCCTACGCACCAAAATTCAAACTTGTGGATTATCAGAACACTACATTACAGTGGTTTAGTGGTAGAAAGTACGCCTGCTATCAAGGGCGGATCCAGCTTTGGCGCCAGGGAGGGGTCATATAGCCAGCTTTGGCGCCAGGGGAGGGGGGTCATATAGCCAGCTTTGGCGCCAGGGGGGGGTCATATAGTCGTAGTATATTAAATATTGAAAGTACTTAAATAAAATCCCCCTGGGTTTGGTCCATCTGTACCCTGCCCAGGGGGGGTCATGACCCCCATGACCCCCCCCCTGCATCCGCCCTTGCCTGCTATACGGGCGATATGGGTTCGATTCCCAGTCGCGTAAAAGCGTTTTTTTTTATTATTATTATTTAAACTTTATTGCCAAACATAAGCAAACGGCGGACTTAATGCCATAGGCATTCTCTACCAGTCAACCAGTATGATTGTTGGAGACAAATAGTATGGCGATAGAACAAAGTTTTTCAGCGATATTAAAGTTTATTTTATATAAAACTTACTTTCAATAACTGCGATAACGTTTGTGTAAAGTTTCGTATTCTTCTTAAAAAAGCCACGGTATACGCACGCGTTGTCGTCTTCAAAACTGAAATATAAATATATTCGCACTAAATATAGTTAAAGTGCATGCATTCACTTCTAGCTTTCACTCTTGTCAGAGTGGTCGTGAGTAGCGATGCGCGACTTTGAATAATACTAATACTAATCATTCGACTCAAAGAATCATGCACCAAGTCGACTACGCGATATCATTCGACTGGAGTCACACGCAGCGACCCGCAGAATACATTACTAACGACTAAAGTCGGTCGATAGGGAGCTTGATGGCGCAACTGGTTAGCGCGTTCGGCTGCGATCGTTTTACTTAAGCAACTTTCGCAGAGGTCGGTCATTGGATGGGTGACCAAAAATTACTATCTCGAGCTCCTCCGTGCTTCGGAAGGCACGTAAAGCCGTTGGTCCCGGCTGCATCTGCAGTCGTTAGCACCCACCAATCCGCACTGGGCCCGCGTGGTGGGTCATGGCCCAATCTCCCTATTCCATCCATAGGAAAGGCCTGTGCCCCAGCAGTGGGGGCATTAATAGGCTGATGATGAAAGTCGGTCGACTAAATGACTCTCGATTGACGTACGTGACGAAGACAAAAGAACCGAGTCGACTTGGGCTTGGTCGAGCGAACTCGACGAGTGAAAGAGATAAGCAGAGTTAATAGGGTGCGGGTGAGACAGAGAGGGAAATAACCGACTGAAGCAAAAATCTATTTTAATATACTCATAGTTTACACTGCAAAAATAATAATTAATAACAGATACAAGACTATCGTGGCAGGCGCCACGTACGAACGTTCGGAAACTAACTGAACTAAGGCAAATGATAAACGAATGAATGAATAACCTAACCTTATTCGTTGCGCTCTTGTAATTAGAAGTCGTTATTCGAATAATGACAATAGTATACTACTAATTTGCCTTTCGAATAGCCAAATTAGTAGTTACGAATTAGTCGAAATGTAAAATCATTCGTAGTCGCGCATCGCTGTGAGTGATCTTTTAATGGACGAATTTGGGGTACATATAGTGTAATGCTAGACGTTCGTGCAACTGTATGCACTCCAATCCGCTTGTAGGACATTGACAGGGCGTAGCTGGGCGGGGGAGGTCTCATCGCACGCAATCAAAATCCGCGGCGGAATATGTGCCCCCTGGCATAGTATGCAATAGTTTGTATAAAATACACACGAGCGATTTCAACGGAGTTTTGCGCTGCGTAACGACCCGCTGCGGCCCGACATAATGTGCGCGAACCTTTAAAAAGAACGACTTCTGCGTTGGCTGCTTGCGTGCGCAGTAGGGTCAAATCATATATCCAGACAATGATACCATGTTTATTTAATTGGATATCATGTTTAGGTTTCTCACATCATTTTTCATTTTTTATGACTGTTGATCTACAACGATTTAAATTTGTATATCAACCACTTTTGCGCTTTTTATTTTCATCTTACGTCTGTATGGATCTTTGTTACTCTTTCACGCAAAAAACATTGTATCGAAATAAGAATCGAAAATAAAATGATAAGATATTTATTTCCCACATGCTTAACTTATATGTGTATTTTTATCAAAATAAATACTTTAATCGCTTCTGTTATTTAAAAACAATAAACTTTTACACTACCTATTTAAAACTCTTACAAAGCAAATGATGAAAAAAAGGAAAGAGTTCATTATCAGTGTTAAACAACATGGTTGTAAACAGATTTCTCGAGAGCAATCGACAGAGTGGATTATCGCATCCTCTGTTTAAAATAACATCTCGGAATACACCGGTGTCTTTTCCAATGGCTTGGATCTTATCTCGCAAATCGTACTCGGTTGCGCTGTATTGTTATGAATCGTTTCCCTTTACATTAACATATTAAGTTCCACAAGGGTCGAGTTTATGGCCATTACTTTTCGTTGCTTTTATCAAAGATCATCTAGAATCCATCACCTATCTATATCTGTATCTGTATTACATAAGCTGATGATCGGAACACGTACCACAGAGTTTCGAGTATTTTCCGACTGTGCTTACATTAAATTTACCTTTTTCATTATTATTATTGTTATTTAAAAATCATAAAGCTCGACTGCCTGAAAATTACCTTAAATAAAAACTGAAAAGAAAAACAAATCCAGTAGTCTGAAATTTCGTTAGGTAAGGAACAAAGCGTCTTTAATAGTCGGGACCCATTATTGAAAAAATGATCCATTCTTGAATAATTTAATGGGTCCGACCATGGATAAATGATTGGTCTCGCTTCAGTCGAGTGAAGCGAGCCCAATCATTCATCTACGGGTCTGACTTATAAAGTAGCTTTGTTCCTTACTCAACAAAATTATACGGGACTACTGGAGTTTTTTTTAATTAAGGTAGTTTTAAGCATTCGGGTGGTCTATTGATTTTTTAAATTTACCTTTTTTTAGTAATCATAATCAATCATAATAATCATAATCAAAATCATTTATTCAGTTTAGGCTGTTACAAGCACATATGAATGTCTAGAAGCTACGCCATCGGTTCGTAAATCTACGGCGGGAGACCTTGTACTGAGAAGAACCGGCAAGAAACTCAGCAAGGGCTATTTTTTTCTCCCTGTTTTATTATTTACAGAGTCGTCAAATTGAAAAATGACTTCAGAGGTGATTCATGAAGTCACTTTTCATTACATAATTATTAAATATACATTAATTGTTTACCTGCATTTTGATTGCTGTGTCATACAGTATAAATACAAATAGTGTTATTTATATTCAGTGTGACTAAACATTAACTTCAATATTAAGGAAGTTAGGGCAGACTCATCTCCGCTGGCAGCACCCGTTCACGAGCATGACGCATGAACCAGCCATCGCTTCGCTCAACCATATTTTAGGGAACGTAACGACCCGCCTCACACGACACCGCCGAAGAGACTATTATGAGAGCATGACTACCCATAACTACCCATACTAACTACAACATATTTACTTAAATTAAGGTCATTTACCAGTAAGACACAACAAACAATTACAAAACAAAGCAAAGGAGAAATCACGACCACGCCGTTTTGTCAATCAAATATTCTTAAACAGTCTGGTAATCTTACTTAAGTTATTAACTTTATATACAGCTTTCAGTTTAATTATAGTATTGTCAACACATAATTCATAATTTAAATCATATAGAAATACCCGTTGGAATGGTTGGAACAGTTCATACCCAAGCATTTTTGTCTGTAATATAATCAGACACTTTATAATATGCTTTCTTAACTAGTGATTTTTTAATGGTCGATTTAAATTTAGTCATGCTTAACTCTTGAATATTGCTTGGAACTTTATTGTAAAAGCGAACACTAAGACCTCTAAACGAATTATTGATTTTGTGGAGCCTAGTAGCAGGTAAAGTTAAGTTATTTTTATTTCTAGTATTATATGTATGTATTTCACTATTTTTAGTAAACAAATTAATATTTTTTTTACAAATACTAAGTTGTCATATATGTATTGTGATGCAACTGTCAATATACCTATTTCTTTAAACTTATCTCTTAATGAATCCTTAACTTTAAGATTATAAATTGATCGAATAGCCCTCTTCTGCAGCACAAATATAGTTTGAATGTCGGCGGCATTTCCCCACAGTAAAATACCGTAAGACATTACACTATGAAAATAACTAAAGTAGACTAATCTGGCAGTTTCTATATCCGTTAACTGCCGTATTTTCATTACAGCATATGCTGCAGAACTAAGTCTCTTCGACAATCCATCAATATGTGGGCCCCACTGCAGCTTAGAATCTAGTGTGATTCCTAAGAACACTGTGGTATCTACAGAGCTCATATGTCGATCCTTTATATTTACATTAGTTTTTACCTGTTTCACATTAGGTAATACAAATTTCAAACACTTAGTTTTCCCTTCATTTAGCATCAAATTATTAACATTGAACCAGTGGACTACCTTCGAAATAGACCTGTTCACGTCATCAATTTGTGACTCCCTACGTTTAATTTTAAACAAAAGTGAAGTGTCATCCGCAAACAATACTATTTCGTGGTTATCCTTTACAAAATAGGGCAAGTCATTGATATAAATTCAAAATAAGAAAGGACCAAGGATTGAACCCTGCGGAACTCCCATCTTAACCGACGAACCAGGAGATTTTACTCCATTGATGTCAACCCTCTGAACCCTATCACTCAAATAAGATACAATAAGATCCAGAGTGGTATCTCTAAATCCATAGTGGTGAAGTTTCCTGATCAATGTTTCATGAAAAACGCAATCAAAAGCCTTTGATAAGTCACAAAATACACCTAATGCATCTTGCGAGTTCTCCCAGGCATCAAAAATTTGCTGTACAAGCTCAACACCGGCATCGGTTGTTGAGCGACCCCTTGTGAAACCAAATTGTTTACTATGAAGAATATTATTACTATAAAAATATGATTGCATTTGATCTAGCATAATTTTTTCAAAAATCTTACTAAAGGTGGGTAACACGGATATAGGTCTAAAGTTTGTGGGGTCAGATGTGCTACCCGATTTATGTAATGGAGTTATTTTACTGAGTTTCATTAGATCAGGAAAAACACCACAGTCAACACATTGATTAAAAATGCTAGCCAAAATAGGAGCTATTGTCTCAATTACTGATCCAGAAACATCCACGGAGTTACCCCACAGATCCGCAGTTTTCTTTTTATTTAATTGGTTGAAATATTTTATTACATCTTTACAGTTAACATACTTAAATTTAAATTGACTAGTATATTGTTTTGTGTGTTCTTTTAATATTGATTCAGCCGCAATGGGGGACGAGTTCAAAGATTTTGTAGTTGAAACTGGAATATCAGTGACAAAGTTCTCAAATGCTGTAGCAACTTCAACATCTGATGTAACATTTCTATGTTCAATGTTTAAATTAAAACTAGTATTTCGAGTTTTAGATTTTCCAGTTTCATTGTTTATAATGTTCCAAGTCATTTTGATTTTGTCATTACTATTCTTAATCTTACTACTTAAATAATTTGATTTTGCTGTACGACATACTTTTTTAAATAACTTTGAATAATTACGTACGTACTCTTTGAAACTTTCACTAGTATTAATGCTGCGTTCATTGTAAAGTTCATAAAGTTTCCTTCTACTTTTATGTATGCCTGGGGTGGCCCACTCGCTGAAAGTTACTGCATCACTAACACATATGGTTTTGGGAACAAAGACATCATTAAATTCTTTACAAAAATTATTAAAAAAATCATTATACATATCATTTGGACTACTTTTATACTTTAAATAACTCAAACTCCTATCTAATTGAATTTTAAAACGCTCTATACGGTTAACAGATTTTGGCACAATAGTAATATATTTCTTGGTGATATTTTTTTTGGATGTGGAAAAGTAATCATCTGGCCACAATGATCACTATCCAGTTGATTAACAATTACTTTTGAATGTGGTATTATATCCGTATAAATATTGTCAATACAAGTGGCCGAAGTGGCAGTTATTCCAGTAGGCTCCATGAACAAGTTTTCAAGATTATATGATTGAAATAGATTTCTTAAATTAATACTCAAATTAGAGGTTTCTAATAGATTAATATTAAAGTCACCACAAACAATTAATCGTTTACCAGTGTTGACAATTTTTTCTAAAGCTTCATCCATAATAGTTTCAAAACAATCATACAATGCTGAAGGAGGTCTGTATACACTCAATACAACAAGCTGGTCCAGTTCCACACAGGCAATCTCTATTGTTCGCTCAACCGAGAGGCTCACAATATCTTTACGTTCCTTAAATTTAAGTGCCTTATTTAATAAAATTAAAGAGCCACCGCGAATCGCATCTTCTCGACTGAACGAACTACCAACCTGATGATTATTAAAATTAAAGATGAATTGATGACTTTTAAGCCAATGCTCTGTGATACAAAATATATCTATATTGTTACAATTCAAAAATAATTCAATTTCTAAGTCCTTACCCATCATTCCTTGAATATTTATATGCATCAGGTTGATCAAGTTTACATTTTCTTTTAATTGTTTGGGATTTTTCTTAATTAAATTAATATTTTTATGTAAGTTATTACAATAATTATTTATTATTAAGCAAGACGAGTTGTCTGTTGTCTCATTATTTAATTTAAACAATAGTTATTATTTTGTAATTTGTCAGTAGAAGAATTACTGACTGTCAAGTCAATGGAACATTGCTCAATAAAAGCAATTTGTTTAGCCAAGTTTTTGGCTGTTATATAAAAATAATATGATAGCGACTTAGCTATCTGTCTTTTATAATAATTAGAAAGATAATATTTATCTTTGGTCAAATATATATTTCTAACATAATTGTTAGTGTCATCAGTTTTTTTACTATTGAAATATGTATGAATACGTTAATAAAACACGAGCTCAATTTCCTGAAAAATTGTGTATAAGCTTCTGCATTTACCAAATTTACCTTATGATATCACAGAGCTCCTCACCTGGAAAACTTCAAGCTGATCGTCTTTGAATCCTTCGCGACGCTGACTAGGCCAGATGCCATTACACTCTCGCCGCTGCACTGCACGTCTGTCACGTCGCAATCCGTGCACTTGTACTCGATTTTCTTTTCTACGGCATCCCCTACTTTAGACGACATCATCACCCTTGACACTTGGAGGACTGCGCAAATGGCGTGAAACAGTAATTAACACGTAACATAAATAATGTGCTGATGGCATTTTAAGAAAATCATTCGGGAAATTTAAAAGGCCCACGACACCCAAAGATAATCTAAAATATGAAAAATTTGATTGTGCTGGCTTTCTAGCTTTTTTATAACTATTTAGTACTCTTCCGTGCTTCGGAAGGCTCGGTAAGCCGTTGGTCCCGGCTGCATCTGCAATCGTTAGCACCCGCCAATCCGCACTGGGCCCGCGTGGTATGTCATGGCCTTATCTCCCTATTTATCCATAGGAAAGGCCGGTGCCCCAGCAGTGGGAACATTAATAGGCTGATGATGATGAATGGAAGTTAGATGCAATCATCATGAAGTCAAAGGACCACGTTTAAACTAAAACAACCCTCTTTTTTCGACGGAGATTAACCACTCCAATTGATTTTTATATATACAGGGCGTCCCACAACTACCTCACACGGAGGGAAAGTATATTAAATATTGAAGATAGGATATTATTTACTGAAAGAAGACATCATTTTATTTTTAGTAATAACTAGGACTACAATCACAGATTTTTTAAAAATCGCCTGCTACAAATGGGAATCAAACTCGTAAAATTTCGAAAAAATAAACACAACATATTTTATGATAACCATCAAAAGGGTTAATCATAAGGATTATATTTTGCTACATAACATAGCATTTTAAATGAAAGGAATGTCTTATTACGTGATAAAAATAATAAAGTGATATACAAACTCTAGTACGTATGCATTTTCTTTTCGAACTCACAGTTACAATGCGATTGGCTGAAATTTATAAAAATAATAATTCGAAAATGGAACACAGCGTCTGTTCTTTTGCTTTTTGTGAGTTTCATTTTCGTTCATTTGCAATTTTTATGTTAATTTACTTACAATGGCGTATCAAAATAAAATGGATTTAATAGAAGGTTTATTTATAAACCACAAAGAAATATTAGCTTTGCGGTGGATACCCGGTGGATACCGCGAAAGATACCCTGATAGAGACGTAACTTCTCGATGTGTGTTTCAAAGGTTGGTGGATACTTTAAGAAATTTACACAACGGTTGGTGGATACTTTAAGAAATTTAAACAGAAACCACAGCAGCGGATGATAAACTTCAACGATTATGAACTCAACATTTTAATTTACTTTTAGGCGTATCTGATTTTATATTAATTTGTGTTTAATAATTTTAAATAAAATGTTTAATAACTTTGCTTTCATTTAAAATGCTACTAGCTGACTCGGCGAACTTCGTACCGCCCAAAAGTAATAATTTACAATAAAATAAAATTGCGACTATAATTTGAGATTTAAACTATCCTATCTCTCAAGTTGGATCGAACTGCACATGGTGTGCGAATTTCATTATAATTGGTTAAGTGGTTTAGGAGTCCATTGAGGACAAACATTGTGACACGAGATTTATATATATTAAGATGTTACAGGTAGCAAAAAATTATCCTTATGATTAACCCTTTCGATGGTTATCTTAAAATATGTCGTGTTTTTTTCGAAATTTCACGAGTTTGATTCCCAGTTGTAGCAGGCGATTTAAAAAAAAACTGTGAATACAGTTCTAATTATTATTAAAAATAAAACGATGTCTCCTTTTAGTAAAATATCCTATCTTCAATATACTTTCCCTCCGTGTGAGATAGCCGTGGGACGCCCTGTATATAGGTGTCATACTTACGGTTTTCTGAAAATATCGAGTACATTATCAGAGAGTACCTATCAGAGAGAAAAAACCAAAGCATTTTATCAGATATACTCCTACGCCTAACTCGCTACAGTAAATATGTTATTTATTAAATAAGTACCAACTAACTTTTACCCTCAATTTTTAAACGGAAAGTACACATTAACAGTTAACTTACACATTATGTCGGGCCGTAGCCCAGAGAAAAATGCTTTCTTAGGACATTAATGACGGGCCGGATCCCAACGTATTGATTTTGGTGACAGTATACTGCCAGACGTCAGTACATCTGTATATAATGCGATTCAACTAAGAATAGGACCGACTGGGCGCCATATTGTGACATCATAGCTGTTAATTCAAACCAAATAGGTAGAGTGAGCAAAAAAAGTTTTTATTTAATAAAACTTATTTAGTAAGATTAAGTGAGAAAACACATCAGATTTTTTAATTATATTTATTTATTAAGATTTATGTGTGAGAAAAAACATTAACAGAACTAGCTTTTCAATTAAGTTCATATCTGCATTACCGCAGGAGTAGTTACGAATAATCATGCACTATTACTAGGTCACATACGAACATGCATCCTATAAGTAAACGAAAGTTTTAAACCGAGTTTATGAACGCAACCTTAAGTGACATTTGGTTGACGATTTAGGTTATCAACCAGTCATAGCCAAAGATCAATAAATAAAAAAATATATATCAAACAATATTAATTTTCAATATTTGTCATTGTTTGTTTACAAATGTTTGGTTTTTATTCTAGAGTAGTAGTATTAGCCGAGTGCTAAAAAAGGGTTCCTAGATTTTTTGCAAACCGTACTTTTGCAAGCGACATTCGATAGATGGAGGTCATTGGCTTTCCTATTCTTATTTGAATCGCACTATACACTTCAATCTGTTTACTATAGTATACCATGTATGGGCGTACCGGGCATCGCAACCAAAATCCGCTACGGAATATGCGGCCCGCTACGCCCCGGCATGCGGCAGTGCGCGATAGTTCATATAAAATACATACGAGTCCTCCCGTTTCAAGTGCACATCTGAGTGCACTTGTCCTCTAAGCGCATTTTGCGTTATTTTAAACTATGCACTAGTTTAAACTAACGCAGCGCCGCATCTTCCCCCTCTCGGGGAATGATCGCTTCAGATAAAGCTTGTAAGGCCCTTCTGGCCATAAGCATGATTAAAGGGTGTTTTTTAGTCAGTAAGAGTCTGACATAACCCTACAGCCGGCTGTAGGGTATCCATGAGGATTTCTCACCCTCTCCCCCGCCTGGGAGGAAACAAAAAAAAAATTATGACTACTTCCGTGGCCGAGTGGTTTGTACGCCGGGTTTCATGATGTCGCCGACTCGAGAGGTCCCGGGTTCGAATCCCAGCGGGGACAGATGTTTGTTTGATGAACACGAGCATTTGTATGCCAGTCATGGATGTTTACTATGTGTTTCTATATAAATATACTTACTATACTACCCGTTACACTAACATCCCATAACACTAGCCTAGCCCCAAAGTAATCACTATAGTACGCCGGGTTTCATGATGTCGCCGACTCGAGAGGTCCCGGGTTCGAATCCCGGCGGGGACAGATGTTTGTTTGATGAACACGAGCATTTGTACTCCAGTCATGGATGTTTAATATGTAATTCTATATAAATATACTTACTATACTATCCGTTACACTAACATACCATAACACAAGCCTTATTATAGTGCTTACTTTGGGGCTAGGCTAATTGGTGTGAGTGTTGGAAATATTTATTTATTATTTATTATTAATTTACTTGTGCGGATTTTTGCACTGCGGCCTGACATAATATACGACAATCCTTACTATACATTCACTACTATTTCTTCCAAATTAGTTTCTGTTAATGAAATGAACTTACTGCTGAACGTTAATAGAAATTTGGCTATATTCACGAGACTTATAGTTTATCTTTTATATAAATAAATAAATAAAATAATATTTCCAACACTCACTCCAATTAGCCTAGCCCCAAAGTAAGCACTGTAAGGCTTGTGTTATGGGATACTAGGGTAACGGATAGAATATATATACAGTACATATTATATAAGTATATTTATATAGAAAATACATATTAAACATCCATGACTGGAGTACAAATGCTCGTATTCATCACACTAACATCTGCCCCCACCGGGATTTGAACCCAGGACCTCTCGAGTCGGCGACACCATGAAACCCGGCGTACAAACCACTCGGCCGCGGAGGTCGTCATAATATATATGTCCTGAATCCCAGGAATGGTCTGAAAACTTGCAGGCATTTTATTTTTATAAATTAACTGTTAAAGATATTAATAAGATAGTTGTTAATAAAATTATACATACCATAATCTAAAATTAATAAAAAAATGTAATAATTTTTATGCATTTAATTATTTTATATTTATAACAGAAAAAGACGGGGATATATTAGCCAATAAAGGTCGTAGCAGACATATCTATTCGGAAAGGGATCGTCACCATTGACACGAGCTAGTCCCGAGTAGGGTTACCATCCGTTCGGATTTGTACGGACATGTCCGGTTTTTTTTCCTTTTGCCGGGTTTTTTAATTTGTCCGGTTATTTTTAATTAGATGGAATATGAGTAAAACTACTTATTAAGTTGATGAGTTTGAGTAAAAATACTTATCAAATAATCTTTATTATGTTCTCATTAATTTAAAACAAAATTGTGGGTTACCTACAATGCGAAGAGATGGCGCTGCCTTGCAGCTTAAAGCTAGGAAAATTTCAACGCGGCTAATAGGGCCGTGGTAGCATAATGGTCAGTGCATTCGCCCGGATAGCGAAGGATGCGGGTTCGAGTCCCGTCCGCTGCCTGGTCCGCGTGGATTTTTTTCTAGTAAACTTTTCTTTAGATTTAAACATCTAGCAGTTAAATGCTTAAAAAATAAATAAAATCATAACTATAATTGCTATTTCTTCTTTCAAATGTTTAATACTGGAAAAAGTATTCATTTGACATTGTGGGTTACCTACAATGCGAAGAGATGGCGCTGCCTTGCAGCTTAAAGCTAGGAAAATTTCGACGCAGCTAATAGGGCCGCGGTAGCACAATTGGTCAGTGCATTCGCCCGGATTGCGAAGGGTGCGGCTTCGAGTCCCGTCTGCTGCCTGGTCCGCGTGTTTTTTTTTCTATTAAAACTTTTCTTTATATTTATGAATATATTCTTTTAAATCGTCCAATATTTTTCCCAACCACCCACTCA